CAAACTCAGCCGGAGCGGCAGATAACAAGGCCTCACCCCGAAACACTGATATGGCAGAGCACTCAATGTGCTGACGTGATTACACATTTCCACCTTCCAAATTAGTTACTGCAGACAAGAAACGCCTTTTCAGGTCACTGCTCGATGGGTTAAGCCAGCTCACGTGCTTGAATTAGCATCCCGTGCTCGGCTGTCCTTATGCAAGTGCCAGCAATCCAAACCCATCCCAGCTCACTGCCCTGCCCTTACCAGGAGCAGCTCCGCATTGACACAGCACAACCCCGCATGCATCCCTTTCAGGCCAGGGCTGAGTTCACTCTCTTCAGGCCCAGCACAACGCTGTGGCACTTGGATTTCTTCCAACATCCAGGAAACAAAGCTAAAAATAAAGCGTTTTATTTATCCCCTTCCTCCCACCCGTTAATTACTCCATTTGCACTCACGCTGCGCGCTTTGGGATATTTCTGCTTATATGATGCTTTCAGGCTCAGAATTACATTCAGTCACATCTCACTAATCTGGGGATGAGCAGAAATATTAGCTGTGTATCCATATCAGCCAACATCAGGGTTTAATTAGAAAATATCTTCACCGCTTAGAGAAACTGGCCAAGAAAGCCACGTTTTTCTTACATTGCTTTTTCCTCCTAAGAAAATGACAAGACTTCTGTTCAGGTGTGGGGGGGAATTAGCGCTGGTTTGGACTAATTGGAGGCACCTTCTTTACATTATCTCACCTGCAGGATGTGATGCTCTGTTTGGCCAACTGCAGGAGCAGTAACTCATTTTGAACACAAAAAACCTAAATTCAAAGCCCCTCAGCACCGCTGTCAGTTGTAAGTTTTGAGTATTTCTTTAAATAATAATAATCATCATCAGGACAAGATCTCTGCAAACCGGTTGCTGTCAACTAAGATGAGAAGTTGGATGAAACTCCCACGTGCCAGCTGGCAAATCACAATAAATGCTTGGGCTGTTAGATGCACAACAAGCAGCAAACACACAGAAATACAGCACTGACAACAGAAGGGCTATTTCAGCACAAAGTTGTCATTCTGGGAGCAGCTCCTTGGGACCAGAAGTCCTGCACTGAGGACTCCGTGCGCTCCTCATGTAACAGCCCGTGATTTGAGCAGTTCTGTCTGGCTGCTGTCAGCGTGGCCTTGGAGTTCACCGTTCACACATCATTTATGACCCTCCTGCCAAGTTACTTACAAAATATTGCTAAAGGATACCAGAGAACTGTTTACTCAAACCATTACTGTTTCCTGAACACAGATGCAAGAAAAAGTTATATTAAGAAGATAAACAGCTGCTCCTGTATGCTGTTTAAATGGTAACAAAAGCATCTAAGGGCCATAAAGGGAATAGTAAGGGAATTAAAACGCATTTTTATGCATGAAGATGGCTAACATCCGTACATTCATTAAAACGGTATCAACCATGCTTTTAATTAAAAGTTGGTGACAGAAACTTAAACATGATTAATGCAAGCTACCGGCCTGCCAGAAGCCCGCTCTGTCAGAAGCGCAGCGAGCTCCGCTTCAGGCCCTGCTCATTTCCTCCGCTTCCCTCTCACAGACGCCACAAACAGAGCACGCTGCAGGGACTACAGAGCAGCATTCCTCCGACCAACAGCAAGCCGGGACACGCCTGCAACCACGCTTTCCTGCTGGGTCATTGCTCACTTTGCGTGTCCCCGAGGCACGTTGGGGTGATGGCGCTGCTTACCTGACCCGGCCAGCGGGCACCTGGGGCACGAGGGCTGCGGGGTCAGGCAGGGCTGTCCTACAGGCAGCAGCCTCCCGCTCGGCAGTGGAGAACTGCTCCGGTGCCGTCGCTGAACTCTGCAGCACCATCAGCCCTCCTGTGTTACTCAGGAGCGCAGCGCAGTCACGGCAAAAATAAACCACGCAGCAAAAAGGCAGCAGAGCAGAGAGACGGCACGGAGAGAGGCAGGGCGGGATGAGAAGGAGTCCTGCAAACCGTGTGCGTTTATTTCAGTGCGAAGTCAAACCCTGCCCGTCTGAGCTCTCACACCTGCAAAGGTCCATCTGTTACCACGGCTCAGCCGCTCTCCGCACAGCGGTAGCGAATGACGCCGCCAAAGACTGAAGGCGTTTTTCAGCACCGTGTCACGGGATCCCACAACCATCACCCACCTTGCTGCTCCACAGCGCGCGGAAGATGGAAGTTCTCTCTTCAGAGCGGTTATTAACGAAGGGAGAAGCTTTTGTTCCTCCCAAACGCACAACCTGCAATCAACTTCACCTCAGCCGCGGCGATGCGAGACAAAAGCACGGCAGGGCCGAGCCGCGGGGCGGAGGGCAGCGCGCCAGGAGAGGGCCGGGCTGCCGGGAGGGAGCGGGGATGTGGGAGCGATGCTGCCCGCGGGGCTCGGCAGCTCCGAGAGCCCCGGGCCGGTTGGCGCACAGGGAGCCGTCCCACAGCCGCGCTCTCTCTCTCTCTCTCAATCCCTCCCGGAGCACGCAGCGCTCAGGGCTCGGCCGCCTCCCCAGCTCCTCGCTACCCGCAGCGCCGAGGCCCGAAACGACCCCGCGAGGCACAGCCGTACGGCCGCACAGCCGTACCCCGAAGGCGCTGCTCCGCTCCCGGCGCCTCCGGGCGGTTCCTCGGGCAGCGGCTGCGCGGGCGGCTCCTTCGCCCCCTCCTCGGGGCAGGGCTGGGCTCGCCGCGCCCCGACCGCTCCCCACGACGCCGCGAAAACGAAATCGAGGTCAATCCCGGCCCGAGGGATGGGGAAGCGGCGGTAGCGGGGCTCAGAACGGCCGTGCCGACCCGGCGCCGGGTCTCTCGGTCCCGGCACGAGGGAACGCGGCGCGCGGCGCCCACCTCCAGCGGCGCCCCGTTCTGCGGAGCGAAATCGCTGAGGCGCGGCGCTGCCATGGCTGCAGCGCCCGTGGACGGCGGTGCGGCGGACACATCGTTCCCGCCACGGACCGCCCCGCTCGGGAAACTTTCACCCCGCGGCCCCCGGCCCCGCCGAGGCCCCGGGAGGAGCCCGCAGAGCCCCCGCTCGGGGATCCCGCAGCACGCCGGGCCCGCGCCGCCCAAGGGTCCGCCCGCCGCCCCCCGCCTCTCCCTCACGCACCGGCTGCTCCCGGCTCCCGCCGCCGCCGCCTACGAGCCGCTGCCCGCCGACGTGCCCGCGCTCCGCTGGCATAATCCCCGGCGCAGGTGGGGCCGGGCGCGGGCAGCTCCTCGCCCGCCAGCTCTGCGCGGCTCCGCGCTGCGGGAGAGAGCGAGGAACGCGCGGAGCCTCGGCCCTGCCCCGCGGCGGCGGACGCCTTTATCCCCCGGGCCGAGCCGTGCCCCCGCTGCGGGGAGCCGCCACTTCCTTCCCCGCGCCGGGCCGGCGCTCCCGCACGGCGGCGGGCCTCGGGGTTATGGCGCCGCCTGGCGGCCGCGCGGAACAACACTACGCGGGAGGGGGCGGCCCCGGAGCGGGGGCTGCGGAGCGCGGCTACGGCCGGCGGCGGGATCGTCGGCCGGTCGTTTTACGCGTGCTTTGTATGGAAGGGCGGGAAGGACAGGAGCGCGGGGAGGTTTGTTACCGCCAAGAACTACACCTGGCAAGGGCGCTCGGTGTCGGCGACGCCGAGGTGGAGCAAAAGCTGCAGGCTCTGTGCAGGCGGTGTGCAGGCACGAGGACGGCGGTTACAACGCTGCTCAGAAGCAGCCTGTGCTGCTCTTCCTGTACAAAAAGGCAACGCGTTTGTGCTGAAGGCAACGAACTTTACAGAGGTTTATTAAAAAAATCTAATAAGCCGTCGTCCAGCTGAGCACACAGCGATTCGGCCGTGTTTTCCAAACGTGCCCCACTTTCCCTTCTTTTGATGCTTCGGGGCCGATTGTTCAGCAGCGCCGAGCATTCAGGCCTCCCACCGCTTCCAGCGGGAACTGCAGCTCCTCCGCCCCGCGGAAGGATGAGGCTGAAGGCACCGCGCAGCCACAGCTCAGCCCGCGCCTCGCAGCTATCGCTAAAAGGGGGGGGCTAAAAGTTTACTCAGGGCACCACTTAGAATCTTCCCCCCCTCTTTCAGTGTTAGAATAGAACAGAAAAAGCCTGAAGAGCTCCAACAGATGGAGGAGGGCTTTTGATTAAAAAATAAATTGTGACTCACGCTTCAGTTTTCTGGAGGTAATAAAAAAAGAGTACATGAATATGAATAGTGGTGGAGAGAATGGAATGGGAATAAAGGGAGGTTATGAGGAAAGGCAGTGAGAGCTGAATTGATTTACCTGCTCCTTTCAAATGCCTGTCAGGAAAATGGTGCCTGTTTTGCAGCAGCACTGATGAAAGAAAACAAGACCATTAAATGGACCCAAGTGAAGTTTTGTGCCTTGGAAGAACTCCTGCTGGCTCAATGATGCTTTAGAATGGTACTTTTACACTCTACCTGTTCATAATTCAAAGTGGGGGAAAGAAACTTATTCAGCTGAAGGGTAGAGTTGCATAGGAAAGTAGAGCAGCTTTTTTTTTTTCCTTCCTCCTCAAGTAAGAATATGAAATACCATCAAAATTAAGCATCTGTTAGTATGGCCTGGAAGTATATTCAAGCAAGTTGCTGCCAAGCATTCAGGCCCAATTTCAACATTTTAGAGCAGAAGGGAAAATGAGTAACTTGGAGGCCTGACTTCTCTGACGTTGCATCAGAACAACCCGCAGGGCAGGAGGAGATGCACAGAGCTCTTGATAAATAAATAAAGCTTCTTCTAAGAAAAAAGTACTGTGCATTAATGTAGGGCACTTCTTCATTAAATATCTTTAAAAAACAGCACTCTAGAATTAGAATCAGAGCTTCACGAGCTTCCTTCACCACAGCTATTCTGGCCTTTCCACTGCAAAATAATCACATCATTAGTGGCCAAACATTTGGAACAAGGACAGAACTTGAAACACACAATATGATTAAAACCTACATTATTGCTGATGTAATATCCCAGATCCTATTATTGTCCTTGGGCTGGGAGAAAGAATCTAATTAAACATTTATTTAATATCAAAATACAAACTAAAATATCAATATCGAACAGTAACTCAACAGTATGCCAACGAGCAAATCTGTATTTTTCACCACGAAAAATGCACGTCTTGCTCACAATGACAGCTCAGATTTCACTTGGAAGTGTGTGCTCCAAACTCTGGCGTGGCACAAAACCCACCCTGATGTTAAAGCAGCAACTTGAGTGAGCGAGCTGCTGTCCTGCAGTGCCAGCTGCAGCTGAGCTCGCTGCTGGGAAAGCTGGCTGCTGTCAGCTGCACGAATCCCGGCCTAATGGCATCAAAGCACTGCTGCTGCTTGTAGTTTGGTCACCGTGACAAACACCCACCAGATGTAAATGGAAAGGATTTGCTACATAACAGTAGTTGTCTAACATCACCAACTCATGTCATGTTTTGTATTAAAAGTCAAGACTTCCTATTAGCCAGTATTTACAACGTGCCACAGACATTTATAAAATGGTGACGAAAACGAGTGCAAAACGCAATCACTCTCAGAAAACAAGCTGCCTTTTAGTTTCTTATTATAAATTATCACTATTTAAAAATAATATTTCTAAAAATATTACAATACAGGATAAACATTGCTTTCTCAAGTGTAACAAAAATATGTTTGAAATATAGGTGGCTGTTTGAAGTACAAAATATTGCTGAGTGTAAAGGGTAACGTGGTTGTAAAACTACTATTGGGGGTTTATAAAAATACAAAACATTTGCATTTACCAAGTGCATCATTATATATTAGTGCAAAAAAAAAAAAAAAAAAAAAAGCATATTGGAATTCAAGAGAGAATTGTCAGAGGTTTGCAGAGGTACGCAGAACATGGAATCTTTTCAGGGTCATGCGTATCCAGCCCAGATCTCTGTTGATCCTTTCCAAGCGATCTTCCAGGGCTTCCTAAAAAGAAACAGTTCACAAAAAAGGGGAAAAAAAAGATTTAATAACAGACAACAAAATCCAATGATACTCATTTCAGAAAGAAAATGCTATCATTCCTGCAGTCAGCTGGTACCCTTCCCAACGCATTGCCTTAGCACCCAAAACCAAGAGCCAGACCTGCAGACTTCTCTGATTATTTTTGTGGGTGCATTTGTGGGCTGTTGGCTTTTTTTTTTTTTCTTTTCAGCTTTCTTTTCAAGACTCAGATCAACAAACATATGATATAAATATATATATATTTTTTTTTTTTTTTCCCCCTGAATCACTAGAAATCATCTAAACTTACACATCTTACAAAGTGATGCACACTCTCTATGATTACACTGAGGTAGTGTTAAAAGATTACAGGAAATCTATGAAGTCCAGAGCTTACTTTTCATGTAGGCTCAAACTTCAGCCATGTTCACAAAGGAACAACACTCAGTGGTGTGGTAGAATACTTGCAGTCACTGTATTTATACCCATTTCAAAACCTAAACTTTCATCTAAGCTACATAACCTCAGATTCCAGAGAAGCAGCTGAAGAGAGCAGTTGGTAGAAGCTTTTTCACCTGATTTAATCTTGCTTGCAAGGTCATTCTCCCGCCAGAACAAGGTATTCGACTCAAAGCAGCCTCAATCTAGTAACAGAAAATACTTCAGCTGTAAGCGACAGTTTCAAGTGCCAATAAACCTTTCTAACTGATCTTACAGAGCAAGAGGTGAGGGGCAAAGATAACAGATACATGCTCAACGTTGTTCTTAAACACTAACTTCTGTTACCATGATATTGTGCCACACAAACACCAAATTAATATGTATGAGCAGCCGCTCTCACAGATCCTTTTGAAGAGAACAGAAATTACTGTTGAATGATTTCAAACTTCTTAGTTTGTCCGTTTAAATTTACTCCAACCTTTCCAACCACAGTGTGCTCATGTTACAGGGATTCTCCTTTAACAACATTAGAGACAGGAATGGCTCTAGTTTCAGAGGTAGAACAGGAATGGTAATGCCACATTCCTATGTTAATACTGGAAATCAGATGTGAACTTCAGCCACGCGCTGTGCCGGCGTACAGCCACACCATGCACGTCTCATACAGTAACTTTAAAATAAACATTATTTTTGCCTGTTGCTTTTCTTGAGTCAGGTCATCGAAAAGCCTCTCTGTTTCAGCCAGAGTCTGAGTCCTTGGTGTGTATGGGAAGTCCCCCTCGCAAGGTGACAGCATTGGCTCACAGTTCTGTGCCCCGCTCCTCTCGTCCCAAGCTGCTGCTTTCTTCATTCTGGTACTGACAGATTCAGCACAAGAGCTGGGTCTGACACCTGAGCCTTGCCTTCCTATCAAAAAACAACACTGCTTTTATTTGTTTTGTAATTGCCTCTTCAGTTGTTACTTAAGACAGCAAAAGAAACAAGCAAAGCAGCACTATATGAACTGAGGACAGTGAGCAGCAAAGCCTCGTTAGCTTCCCATGAGCACATCTCCCAGCAGAATGCAGAATGCATTCCCCACTCCAATGGGTCATCTTTCAAGCCATCTTTTTAATACAGCACACTTTTTGGATAACAGCCTTGTGCAGTGTGCTCATTAAGAATCACTTCCACTGGTGCAACGTTTCTAAATACCACCTTGTAGGCTAGTTGTCATGAAAACACTAGCCTAAATAAATACATTAATAAAAGCAAAAGCAGAACATTGTGACAAGAATGACAGAAGTGAGAAAGATTTGGTTCAATCACTGTGGAAAAAAAATCTCAGACAACTGGCTTTATTATATTTACTCTTTCTATTGCTAAACGTTGCATTACAGATAGGAATTTTATTAGTTTGAGCATGCACATCTTAATATAGGCCCCTGTGAGCTATGCACTGTATAACTGAGTTAAACACAGGAGAATATATTGCCCTTCTTTCTCAATTCAATTATTTTTGTTTCCCTATTGTGTCTGTGCACACACACAAATGAAAATAAAATGTATGAATAGTATTTCTCAATTTACAGTAATAAGACAAGATACAGATGATTTTCAGAAATTGGACTCCACAGAACAATGTGCCAGCTTTCTGAATTACAGTACAAACTGTTTCATCTGGGAGATTAAAAGTACATTTTATAAACTTAAAATTACAAGGGACAGTTTTCCCCCTCCTTTGAGGGATTGATTACCTTCTGTATCATCGAGTGAAAGAAACTGGAGCCTTTTTCTTGGATTACTATGCTGTAAAGTAGATGCAGGACCACTTTCCAGGTCATCTAGAAGTATATCAAATCTACAGAACAAGCAGCACACAACAATTAATTGCCCAAAATAATTTATCAGGTTTATCATAGTATTCTCTATCTTTTCCTGTTTTGGGCTAAATAAGTTACTTAGAGAAGAATTTCTACCCCACAGGAATTCCAGGTCTTCTGAACAGTGCTACTGGCACCATCCCCTGCTGTACTCCTGTTTGTACATTCTTGTCACTTTCTCCTGGAAGAGGCCAAGCCACCCCTCCCAACCGCACTGAGAAGCCCACACAGCTGCCCTCAAGAACCAAAGTGGTGCCACACATTTCTTCTTCGTGCAAGTCACACACCTTAGTCTTGCAGTTAACTACGTTCCCTGAAACTCTGCAAGCCTTGCCAAGCAAAGTTCTCTATAGAAACCATGGTTACCTTGTTCCAGTTACCAGAAAATTAAACTGGTGCATCTTCTAACGTGCTTACAAATGCCACGACAGGTAGACACTGTTCTCAGCATTGATTTACATTCCCTAATAAGCTTCATATGAATACAGACTCACTCCACAAAACTGTTCCAACTGTTTTTGTCACTGATCAGTGTCACATCAGGATGTATAACAACAAATACATCTCCCCCTAGTAAGCTCTGAATAAAGAGAAATGATTCCAGATTCTTTCTTGCTGTGTTTTAAAAAGTAAAACTTCGCTTTATACATAGAAATCTTCAGGTGATTCACATTTCCCATGACTTTTTAGGGGACCAAGAAACAGCAGGAACAGTCTTAAACCTGCATAAACATGCTGCTGCTATTGCAATTGTCAGAACAACTGTATTTGCAAAATCCATACCTTGTCACTGTGTTTTCATTTCTGCTAAGTAAATGGCTAAATCCAGGAGAGAGGTTTTCTTTTGGAGATCGTTTGGGGCTGTATGTCACAGACACTGGAGCCAACATGATCTCTCGCCTTGCTGTGAGAGACAAAGTGTGTTTAAGTACCTGAAATTTCTCCCTTTGCAGTATCTCCCACTTATGTGATCCGATGCTTACATATTTGAAGAATGCTATCTGAAGTGTCTGCATGCTTATTTGAATTATATGAGAAGTACATTATGACACATAAGTGAGATTTTCATGCTTTCTATGATTTCAGGAGAGTTTCCCCCCCCGTATTATCTATTAGATTAAGACAGACATCATACCTCTCACTGTTTTTCTTTTAGTGCAGACTCCCATTATTTACATACCGTTATTGCATTTTCTTTTTGTGCAATGCAAACTAAACTTCAGAAAAGCACTCACTTGGAGTATTCGATTTCCTGTTTGATGGAGGAAGAGATGAAGACCTCTGGCCACAAGGGGAGCTGTAGCGTTTGGGTCTCTGTTGGTCTCTGCCTTTCTCTGGGGATCGGTTGGCAACAACAGAAGTCTCTACAAACCCAACGGTTTGACGTCGACTTGATGTTTCTAATTCAGAACGAAAGGGTTATTCTTTGATACAAGATCCCAAAAACATTCTCCTGCACCCAGCTTTCACAACAACCACACCTGAGGCTGCCCTGTGCAAACAAGTTTGTGCTGCTTTGCTGAAGACTCACTTCAGCTCATCATTTCCACAAAGCAGATCGTTTAACTAGCTTATCACTGAGGATGCTGTGCAGAACGTAAGGGACAAATGATGGTAAATAGTTGTTTAAATGAACAAACAGTGCAAAGCTGCACAGCAGCACCGTTTGGTGGAGAAGGCTGGCATACCTGCCTCAACCAAAACTAAGTGTTAACAAAAAGAACAGTTTCTAGTTACAAGGCTTCCCAAACAAGCATTATTAGAACGGTTCAGTGCAGTTCTACAACACAAACACCAGCACTCATAATAACATTCTGACACAGCACTACAAGAACAAAACAAAACAAAGGATTTACATCCAGCCTGAACTTTGTTAAGACTCCATTGACTGCTTATAAATACTGAGATATTCTTAGAAAGAGAACATCAACCTAACAGCAACCACTGCATCTCCTCTTTTTTAAACAAGTCACTTAGCTACATCACTTGGAATTTTCTTAGGAAGACTCCAGAAATCTGTATGCTAAAAAGTATGTATCTTGTTCCACCACTGAAGTCTGAGTGCCTTAATGCTTAGAACAACGAAACCAAGGTACGTGCAGAGAAAAGCCAGTAAAGACAAGTCTGGGAATATAAAAATGATTTTAAAAAAACACAATTACTAGTTGGTGTGTCATCTTTTTCTGTCTGTGTACCCCAATCTTTAAAAGCTTTCATTTCTTCAAGTTCTTTAAAGGCTTTTATAATTGGTGCTTCTGACATCTCGCTGTCCTTCTTTTCAACTGTGTTTGGTGAAGAGTCTTCTTGTGAGGAATCTTTTTCAGGAGGAGAATGATACCTTAAAGAATGAGCAGGGGGAGATATCAAGTTTATCACCTTTATTTCAGCTATCCAAGTGTAAACTGAACAGACCAAAAAAAAAACACCAAAAAGAGAAATTAATTTTGAGTTTATAGCTGCCAAAGCAAGAATTTTAGAGTTGGTCTTAATTTCAGCCAGGAACCTCAGAGGATTGTGTTACAGTGAATCCAAGAATCCTAAGTATAAGTTTGGTGACCTGACATTCAAACTAAATACAGACTGAAAGCTGTTTCTTTAGCACTGGGTTCCTTCATACTAGAAAGAATGTTGTTTAGCTTTTGAGGAATAGCATTTACAACATTGATATGTTGTGTGTGTGTGTGTGTGTGTGTATATAATTTATTTGTTTATTTATTTTTACACCTTTACTTAATGTTTTCAGAATCTGGACATGAGTCTGGTCAGTCTGAATAAAATTATGTTTTAGAAGTGTTCAGCCTTACACCACAGTGGAGACTGAAGAAACCAGCTCACCTGGAAGGAATATAGGCTTCTTCTAGTCTGTTATCTTTGGGGCTCTCTTGGACTTCCAGAGGCTGGCCAGTGAAGATTGAATACTCTGCTCCTGGTATCAACCACTTTCGCCTGCTGACATCAGGAGCAGCCAACTTGCTGTGGAAGCAATATAATTCCAAATTCTGAATGGATTTGAATTATACATATATATTTATTTTTTAATGAAATAGGAGTATTAATTATTTATTCCAAGTAGACAGAAATAAACATGCAATAAATCTGTAAATAACTACTTTTTAAAACGTTTCTGAAGCTAAAAAAAAAAAAAAATAATCAGTTTTAAGATCACTAAAATATTAATAAGCAACAAATCAACCTCCAAATACAAACTGGTTCTCATACCCTCCTCCTTGACAAACACGATCTTCCACATGTTTTTGCTTCCCTCCCCCCTTTCCCTCACTGTAGGGGAATCTCATTCATAAATACTACAACAGCTCTGAACAGAAATCTGTACTTGTCAGTGACTAATGCTGAAATTACAACAGTCAAAATGCTGCTGTTCAATATATACACATAGCATCTATGAAACACATTACTTTATCATTTTATATTTCACAGCATCAGTGCTGACTGGGAAAGACGCCCAAGAGATCATAGCTAAGTACCAAAACCAAAGGGACAAAGCTATTCAGGTTTTCAAGTCTCGCAGCCTCAAAACAGAAGAGATCAACTTCTGATTTTTGTAACATAAATTCACAATCCAAACTACATCATGCATTTTTAACTGAACTCCCAGATTACTCTCAGCATACCTGTACAAATTATATTTAGAAAAACAAACTAATAACTGGCCTTTCAAAATCAAAGACAAAGGTACAAAGAAAAACTCTTCTGTCTCATTGGACAATTTGACTTTTTTTTTTTAAGCAATTTTTGCTGAGCTCTAATCAGCTGAGCAACTGAGACCCAGCAAAGGCATGTAGAAAGACTGGAGACAGTCTCCCAAATCACACATGATCCGTTTGTTCTTATTCAAATCATTTATTGGCACATGAGGTCTCTGGATTTCATCACGTGCATTCAATTCAGTTTAGCCCATGGATGGACATCCTGAACCACGTCTGGCCACAGAACACGAAGAACACTGCAGAGCACGTGACCCATTTTCATCCTATTGGCAAATTCACTCACTTGGCACAAGAGGTTCTTAGACGACTTTCGGTAACGTGACGAAGTTTCAACATGTTCTCATGCTCCACCTGCTTGAGCTGAGCTTCGAGTTTTGAAACTGTCCTAATGCAGAAATAGCAAGGATGCAAAGGAAGAGGATTTAAAAGCCATATTACCTGGAGCTCACTCATTTTTTATTCAGATATCCTGAGTGGAGCAGAAGAACAAGAATAACTAATTTCTATGTATCCACAAATGCATACATAAATATGCATTTGAACTCTAGGCTGACTAAGTTAAGTAACCTAGCTAGAAAGAAGATGACAACTGCAGTAGCAAAAGCTTGAGCAGAAGACTGGCTGGACTAGCTGGGTGACAACAGAGGGGAAGCAACTCCCACTGGAAGAGGGCGAGATTAGGAATCTAGAAAAATAACAAGATTCATGCAGTATGTGCAAAGCAGCAGAAAGCAACATGAAATGCTTCACACCATGCGACTGAAATTGCAGATCTACAGCCTTTACAATCTAAGAGTAAACGTTTGGGCCACAGCCTGTATTGCATGTTTTTAAAGCTGCAGCAACACATTCACACTTACCTTTTCAAATCAGTAATCTGGGTGTTTGCATCAAGCAGTCTGTTTTCAGTTGCATTTAATGTATCCTACAAAGTACACAAGTGAAAAAAGGAACAAGTCTGGAAACTATTCGAATGTATACAGAAGAAAAAAAAGTAACTTCAATCTTAAAAGTAATGCACTAAACATGCCTTTCTATTTGAAATAAAGTCCCACTAAATGCCTTTAACTTCACAGCGTTTTGCCTGCCTATGACTGGAACATTACACACTTGAAACTCCCTCTTCTTCCCTTTGCAGGGGCTCTGAAGATGCAGTCAGAAGCTTTCAGCAAAATCAAGTGTAGACCATTCTGTTTGATCTTTTCCTAAATACTTAATTCAGATCATTCTATGGCATATTATGACAGACCTTTACCCACTTGCTTGTTGTTTTTTTTTTTATTTTTAAGTAGCCAGTGCAGACTCACCTTTACCCTTTCATGTTCTTTTCCAAGGGAATCATATTCTCCTAAAAGCTGCAACAACAACAAACCATAAGGAGATTAAACAGAACCAACATTTTTGTTGGGTGCTGTAAAACCATCTGAATTCCTTGTCTAATGCATGCATAACATTGCAGGGTAGACAGAGTATCTTAATATTATTTGTTACATTCTGGTATCTTCTATTCAGAATAAAGAGCAGGAACTACTAAAATATTTATAATTGTCAAATGAATTATCATTAAAGGAGCTGGTAAGCAATGAAGCTGAACAAACCAGCAGAGTTAATCACTGGCTTTGAAGCTGACTTCGTATTTTGAAGTTTTAATTGATAAAAAGAAGTGGTAAAAAGAAAAGTTGCAGATCAAATATCTTTTCCACTTAATAACCACGTTTCCCAAAACAAACCAGTTTAAACATTCCATAAAGTCATTACTAAAGAATCAGAGAAACAATTATTGTAATTCAGACTAAGATTATACATTAAATTAACAGCTTGAGCAAGTGGTGCTGCCCTATGAATTCAGTTATTAGAAAGATAAAAAATAACTTATTCTAAAAGAGATTTCCAATAGTACCTCTAAAATTAAGATAAACTAACAGAAGATAAAGTAATAAAATACCCAAGAAAGACTACAGCAAACGTTATCACATCAAGTCCATGACTGCTGCTTCAACTGTTTAAAAGTGACTGCCAAACCTGATGTTCTGTTCTGATGCTCTACCATCACCTGATGGCTGCCTAGGAAGCAGTCACCCAGGTATTTCTGTTCTCTCAGATGTGCATTCAGACTTGCCAGGCTTACATTCTGAGTAGCTTTACAGAACACCCCCGGCTGTGCTGCATTCATAGGACGCAATCTAATTGCAAATACAGGTTGTTTTTTAAAACTTACATTTTGAAACATTTTATTCTCTTCTTTTAACCTCGTATTTTTATTATCAGATAATTTGTAAGCTTTTTCAAATGCCTCCTCTAGATCTTTAAGCCTTGACTTTAGCCTACTGATGGTATTATCCTTCTCTTTATTGCTGGTGCGCATCTCTTCAATACGTTCTTGCAGCACTTTGGAGGTATTGCTAACTCCATAAAAGCGTTCTCTCCAATCTGCCTGAAGAAGAAAAGCCAGATTAATTAAAATGCTTGCCTAGCAGAGTATGATTTCTGAATCTGAAGTCATCTAAATAGAACAAAAGGGTCTATCTGCTGGTGAACTATGCAAGATATTGCTCATTTTGTTATGTAGAAAGAACTGAAATGAAGACTATGCTTCCCAAGGAGAGATTATCAGACAGTATTTTACTATTAAACTTCCTTTGGCTTCTGAAAAGGACTGCACGTAGGCAAACATGACTTGATTCAAGTGAGGAGTATGAAGAAACACAGCTAGGAGAGCCATCCATGCAACACACTGGCTGATGTGCTATGGAAAAAGGCTGAAAACAAAATATAGGAATATAGAGCAGCCTAACAACGAACAGGTGCACTTCCTTACCCTCTTAGTTAGAAAAGCAACTTGAATTAATACATGTCACCAGGAGCACATACTTACCACTTGCTTTTCTAGCATACTATTCTTATTCTCAAGGGCTTTTATGCGAGCGCTCGCTTCATTCAGAGCTGCATCTAACTGGTCACACCTATTTGGAAGATAGATTTCTGTAATCTCGAAGTTTTCAAACAATAAAGCCACATTTTAGAGTTGCCTTTCTTTCCTCAAGCATCCCCACTACTTGTAGTGCCCAGCCTGTAAGCTCCTACCACAGAATCTGGCCACTGCCACGAGCACCCAGCACCTCTGCAGAGCAGGGCTGCGGTGCTGCGCCAGGCAAGCAGCCACTGGGCACACGTGCAGAGACTCCAGATGGCTCTGAGCTCCGTAGCCAAAAGCAGCTGAGAGGCACCACTTCCACTTGAGCTAATTGATGATGCTGTGTGATAATTAGTGACTGAAATCATATCACAGGCTTCTTGTAACTCGGTAAATGACTGCTCAGAAGTCACTTTTAATAGATGGGAGCCACTAGTGCTAGAAGACGAGTACAAAGGAGTGCTGGCTACCCACACGCTTTTTCAATTATTCTGAAGGCCATAAATTCTGTGAAGTACTTTAACTGTCCAAACGTCTAACACATATTTTGGCTGGGAATAATGATTTAAAATCACATTGAACTTCTGCAGTAATCACTCAAGCTACAACAAACAGAACATACAGGTGAGGCACGCAGCCTCCACTAGCAATATCAGCTCAAGGAGCACTGCCTGCCAAACTGCCTTTATAAAGCTACCAGTGAATTTCAGACTTCCCCTGTAAGAAAGATGAAGAGTTTGATGTTCACCAGCATGACAGGCAAACACCATTTCACAACACTGATTCTTCCATTACAAATGGCTTAGGACTACCTCAGCCTGCCAGCTTTTGCCAAGCAAAACTCGTCCTGCCTTCAGCAAAAGCCAGGTCCAACAAAGCCTCTGGTCAAAACATCACACTTGCTGCCCTAACAGTAATTTTAAACTACTCTTAAACAGATGCATTAAGTAACACAAAATGTATGCTTAATAGTAAAATATCAGTATCACAGATGCACAAAACATTCAGAACTGAGGGACAACAAATGCTTAAAGACATTCTAAACAAGCATACATGGCTTTTAAGGTAGAAATAACATCCTGAAACAGAGGCAGAAGAAACAGTACCTGTCTGCAAGATTTTGATTGATTTCCTTCAGGTCTTCAGAAGCAGCAGTTTTGTGGCTTGCCTCTAGCTGCTGTTTTAAGCTGTGGATCTCAGCATCATAGTAAGCTCGTAGATCAGCTATGTGTCGAGCATGTTTTTCCCTCAAGTTCTGCCTAATCCTATATTGAAAAGTAAGAACAAAACCAAATTTCCAGCTATCAACACGGCCATGCACTGCCAGCTGTATTCATTCAGACAAACTCAGCACATAAATACATCTTACAGAGCTTTGCCACTGTCAAATTAAAGCAAAGAAACCTTAGTCATCTAAAGCAGTGGCACAGGCAGCTGAGGCTTGCACAGAAGTATTCACATGCGTAATACAAAGCTTGAGACTCCCTTCTCTCCCCTTCTACTCTCTAGAAGAATGTGCATAAAATTAAATATGCAAGTCCACAAATACCATAAATACCATACCATAGGAATTTGAAATCTCTACCTAAATTAACTCCCTCATGCAGCCTGAGGAGCAAGCATGTATTTTTACTTTTATATATAAACAGACATAATAAAAACATTAAAACAGAAAATCATTCTGCTTTTCAGTTAAGGCTGTGACATCTATGGAGCTCAAGTGCCTTAGGTGAAACACCAAGGTCTGAAAGGCATTTACAAGAAGTGGTAAATGACTGTTCTGTCTCAAAGCTAACTGCCAGTAATTCAGGGAGAAAGGAAAAGGGATGGGGGGAGGAAGGAAGGGAAGGGGGGAGAAGGGGTGGCAATGCACAGCTATTTTCTAAGCTTTGAACTCTACTTTTTAAAAAGCAAAACCAAACAAAACAAGAACTTACTTTGACATTATCACAGGATCTTCAGCAGATGTCACTGAAGGACCGGGGTCTGGTAAACTCCTGTCACCACACTGAGTAACAGAGGATGGAGTCAGAGTCAGCGTTTCTTCCTCCTCAGTGTTTACTAAAACATCACTGTCAGCATCAGCATATGCCACTGGAAAGGGAGAGCTGGCCTTGTCTTCATTTTGGATTGGATGATTTTTCCAGAAGTCCACGTGCACAGCTCTGCTGCTGGCAGGATGTTTTGGAGAATCATCAAACTGAGACAAACTGCTTGTCTGTGAAAATGAGTCAGTGTCACAATGACTTGAAAATCCAGGATCTGCCATAGAGTCTGGAGAAAAAGGAGCACTCTCTTCAGGAATATTGAAAAAACAATGTCCTGGATTCTGTTGACCTGGTTTCATATGCAGGGTTGGGTCCAATGTCAAGATCTAGGAAATAAGTTATAATGCTAAAAAAAAAAAACAAACCCCACACGTTTTAACTTCTGTTCTTGCAAATGGAGTTACTCTGAAGGCATTACTCATCCATGTAATATACTGCAGGAATTACATTGAATATTACTACAATTATTTGATATTGACAAGCAACTGCAGAGGAGATGTAACAGCTTAGAATACGGCACACACACTCAAAAGTTTGCAACTTGTTTCTGAGTTCCCAATAGCAATAAAAGACACATCTAGCATCTGTAGCTGTCCAGAAAACTTCCAAGACTTCAGTTCTAAATATAAAAGAATTAGGATGTCTGTTTGCAGGCCAAAACAACAGCTTTATACTGTTACTAAAATTGCTTCATGGATTACATAGACAAGACAGCCACACATGCAAGCAAAGACTGCAGACTGTATCCTGGAAGTGGGATAGAAATAGATTTCTAAAGAACAGTTCTACAGGCTATGCCTATTCAGTTTTATGGGTAGAAGAAACTTGTCCTGTAGGTAGCAGGAAGAAAACCCTGCTTCTGCAGCTGCAGTTCCACGTGTGCCCTTGCACCATCTTCAAGGTTGTGCTGCAAAGGAGCTTGTTCATCCACAGTGTTCTTAGAGGTTCTTTTCAGCTGGATCACTTCCCAATCTTGTTCATCACACAGCTGCAAAAAACTGCTGTTCCAGCATAACACTGGAGGTGGCAGCAGGTGCCAATTAATGGGAAAGCAGCCATAACCTATCTTATCTTCAAACTGAGATGTGAGACACAGATAATAACTTTACCTCTGGTGGGTGACTTGTCTGAGAAGGCGGCATAAAATTCATCTCTGGCAGCTGGTTGTTTTCCCTTTGTCTTTTATGGTAAATATCCTTCAGTGATGATGGCTTCATTTCGTCAGCAGAAGACAACTTAAACAGGCAAAATTTATACATCAGTCTTTCTGAACACAATCCTCCATCCCCAGTGAGGTAAGTAACCTTTGGGGGGTAGGGGCTAACGAAACAGCTCAGAATGGAGACAGGCTCTATCCACAGCACCTAATTTGAGTAAGTGTTTTTAATGAGGCAAATATGCCTTTAATATACTAGGCAGTCTCTTTGACCCTTACACCACTTCTTTTCGATGAAAGAAGGTCAGCAAACTCTAAGTGAAGGAAGCTGGGGAAAACGAATAATGAAGGAACAGAATAAGAAACAGTGGGAAAACAAAGGGGGCTTCACAGAACACTTCACTTCTGGAGGGCTGATTCCTCTGTAGAAGAGAGCAAAGATGACAAACAAATGTAAGACAACTCCTAAGACATGCAAAGTTCACCTGGTCTGGTGATACTTTAGTGGAGAAAACACCAGCGAACTCGCTTCTGAAGTTCTCTGGTAAAGAGTGATACATCTCCTTCACATCTAGTTTCCAGTATGAAAGTCCTGATGAAAAGAATCATTGGGGAAAAAAAAATCACAAATTTCAAACTCACAGATCAGGAATCCCAAAAAACTTTAGTAGGATGTTACCCTACCAGCTAACAAGAACAATGTACTCATTATTTGCATCCATTGCTTAATGATTTTATGAAGTATTCATTTGCAGAAGTTAAAAAACTTTCAAACCAAAGCAGAAGCAATATACATAATCAGTGTTATATCACACAGCATCACTAACCCAAGGTATAAATTTGTGAAAATACATGAATATACTCTTAGGTGTTCAAGTTTTATCCTCATTTACCACAAACTGCCATATTTCTAACAGTTCCTGCATAGCACTTAAACCTGACATTGCCCAAGGAATAATTCTAGGCAGAAATTTGATGTTACCAACTCTTCTGTTTGGTGCTCAGCCACACTCCACAGTATGCAAAGAGACAAACTACCAGGACTGAGAGATGTGCTTATTCACACAGCTATGGAATCACACCCTTGGCTTACAGAAATTCTGCTTCTATTATCATGCATTCCTGCGATTGCTAAAGAAATGATATTAATATCTTAAAAGGTCATTTTGTCTCCCACCACAACTTTAACAGGAGTTATGTTACAAAACCATATTAAATACAAAACTCAGCCTTGGAACACTGAGGAATTTGAAGAAATGTCCCAAATCTGCCAGCAGCAACACTGAGAGCAGCAGAGTGATGCCACACTAAAAGTTATCAGCTTCTCAGTGCTCAGACATTCCTTGGCTCCCTGTAATTATTAGAGGTACACTCCGGTGAGAGTTCAAAAAACAAAGAATTCAAGAGAAAAGGAATTTCAAGTACAAGATATTGACTGTACCTGAGGCTTCAGACACTGCAGAATTCGGGCTTTCAGATGGCTGATTGAGGTAAAAAGCATAAGGTGGCAAAGCAGCATTGGTAGAGTCTGTCTAAAATTAAATAGGAAAAAGAAGTTAATAACAAAAACTGCACAGCAAGGAAAAAAGAAGAAAGGGTATAACCATAAAAAAAGAATGGAAATATCGTTAGATCATTTTAAAAGTGAGACTACGTTTAATTATGCATCATGGCCTTAATCTATACAATTTGTATGCAGGACAGTTGCCACCAAAAGGAGCACCAAGCTGAGCCATGTAATTAAATAATGCTGACATCTTCCAATTCCCATGGCGGAGCACTTGGGAGCATTTCTGAGTTGAAGTGTTACACAAGAACACATCTAATCCTCCCTGCTCCTTAAGAGGCGCGCTGAGGAAGGGCTCATCAATACAGTGTTACTCTTTCCTCATCCTAAGACTGGAATTGCTTACAGTCAGCTGTTACGACTCCACCTACCACAGAGCAGGAAGTAAATATTGCCTATCATCATAGATAGACAAGATAACTACATCTCCCCTAAGATAGTGCATATTCTGCTTCTCTGCACTCCAAACTTTCTAAGCGATCTCCCCAGACACAGAAGCAATTCTGACAAAGTTGGGAGCGATAGGTGGAAAAAAAATTGCTACAATCCTCCTTCTCCATAGTCCAAGGAAGAAACATCGTTGCCATTATGTGCTGATATAAGAGCAACTGACTACCCCTACCTCCTTTGAAACGCTCATCTCACATTGCTCTTTTCTACCCTACCCCAGGCTTTTTGTTCCATCACAGCAGCTTAGAAGACACACAGCTTGGCAAATTCGAACAGCTCAGAGAACTAAAGCAGGACTGTAACCACTGAGCTAATAAAATTAAGTAGATTAAAAAAAAAGCCTAAAGCTTTTCATTTTCCATGAAGTAGATATTCACCTCAAGGCTATTTTGTCCCTTTTAATGTTTTTATTTAGGTATTCTCCTTTGCCTAAGGAGGGAGAAAGGAAAATGTAAGAATTCAATTGCTTTCCCTTCAAAGGAAAAGAGAGATAGAGGTTTATTCAAGATCTGAGTTTCTGGCACTAATTTCCTCAGGCACCCTCCTGAAGCTAAGAGAAGAAAGGAGACAATCCACAGCAGTAATTAGACTCGTGGTTTGAAATATCCCCTTAGAGGAACAGCATGTTTCCACTGACAGTGGAAGCAGACTCGAAAGAGCAAATCTAAACAGCTACTCTCACCCTTCCTGGATCACCCTCAAAGTGACCACAGGAACGAAAAGAGACCCTGCCTTGAGTAAATGATTCATATTTTCTAGTTCTCCTATTCTCTTGTAGGTGGAATCATTCACAGTTTTGGGAACTATTTCCTTAAAAATAGAGTAAGGAGAAAGGTTTGTGATGATTAATGCCCTCGAAGCAATCCCAGAACTTCACAGTGACATGTATGACGAATGTTTGGACAATTATGCTGTATCCTATCTTTTCAGGTCAGACACGTTTTACGTGGTTAAACCTCTAACCCAAAAATAATCAGGTTTGTGAACATGAAGAAAAAATAGAGAAGAGGCAAAGGGATACTATAAGCAGGAAGTCCTCTCATTTGAGGGGCACCATAAGTTACCACCATCTGAAGATTCAGTTGAGAATGTGACTGCTATCTGTGTAAGGAAACAACGTCTGCCACCAAGACAAGCTGAGACAAAAACAAGGCAAGGAATACAGTAAGTCAAAATGACAACGTTGGTATAGGATGACCCAGTAAGTAAATTCTGCTCACAAGAACTTCAGATGTGAATGGGAACACTGCTCCTCAAATGCTGAAATCTAAGTATGAAAGCATGTACTGAATCAGAACATACAACTCAAAAAAAATATATAAATCTGAGTGAACGAGAGTAAGATTTAAAACTAACATTAAATTAAAACAAAGACTTACATTCTCAAGCAGTGATTTCTTTGCCTGCTCGTCTCCTCGCATAGAATTCACTTGTACTTCTTCTGCGTTCAGTCTTTTTGGGTGGTTTTGTTTCAACTTTTGTGCCCACGATGTTAAAGATTTACTGGACAGCAAGCAACACACAAACATACCATAAATACATATTCCCCTCTGTAATGAAGGGATAATCCCCCCAGAAATCAATTTCCATAGAAAGCAAGAGAAAATATGCACCTCAATGGCACTGTCACCTATGTTGTATGTTGAGATAACACACCCCCAAACCCAACCCTCTAAAAGCAGCATCAGTTTCACGACATACTACCAAACCAAGTTAATCTTTACCAGCCTCCATTCTTCCAACAGCCAGGAAGTTTTCCCTCCACCAAATACCATCAAGGATTCACACACAACGTGCTGCCTGTGTGAGCTCTGGTATTGCCCATGTTTACATGAAGCCACTGTCTTTATGCTTCAGCCCAACAGAGATAGTAAGGCACACTGTTAAATTCTGCATAACCAGAGAGTGTTTGGACAGTGTTACTGACCACTACTTTGGTTCAGCTATAATCTATTCACCTACTGGACAGAGCAGAACAAATGAACCAAAAATAAATCAACCAAACAGGAAAAGACACACAGTAGGAAAAGTCACACCTTTGGGTGTTGTCTGATACAAAGTACTACCGCAATGCATGCATGTAAACTAGCAGAGAAGTCTGGACACAACAGCAAAATGCCATGTAAGGTCAGTAATCAGCACCTAAAATTCCAGTGCACAGATAGAACACTGTGCAGGCTGCAGCTCAGCTTGTATTTACAGTAAGAAGCAGAGTTTTGTAATTTTCCTCAAGCACAACAACAGATAAGCACAACACATGCAAATATGCATCACCCAGAAACGTCAAGCTAAAGAAATGCATTTGTCTACTAAGCAGAGGGCTTGGGGGATTTTCATGCAGATTTTTCTACTAATTCTTCTTACCACTGAGATGCTCAATTCAATTCTTAAGTGTCTCTTAGTTACCAACAATGGGTACTGTATAATAAATCAGCAGATTAGGAAAGTTTACTACTTACCCGTTTTTTTTCCTGCACTGATCTTCATTCACCGTATGTTCCAATTCAGCAGGAAAACCCCCAGCACGATTCCTTCCTGATGAGCAGTCCCCAATTTGTTTGGATAGAAGTTCTCTGGTACGCTGAATGCTGCCTACAGCTGCATTACTCTGCAATCCTGCTGCATCACCCTGTCCTTGTGCAGTGCTCTCCATGCAGTCTGTGCACTTGATAACATCATTAGACGTGCCAGCATTCAGCTCAGAGGCTGACAGCGTGCCGTACCCACTGTTCATGGAAGCATCGTTTGCAAGACATTCCTGATACGGATCAGAGGCACTGGGATGCAGTTCGATTTCATCAGATCTGAGCTGATTGGCAACGCATCCATTTCCTTCAGAGACTTCAGAATGCATCCCCATTTGACTTTCTAGTGACGAGAAGGCATCTGTGGACTTCCCAGGCAAACTCCTGCTCTTGCCAATGCCCCAACTGCTGGTCTGCAATTTCACTAACTGCCTTATTTCATTCTGAATCAGCTAAAGAAAAACAAAAGGGGAAATTCCCATGAGATAGTGCTCTAAGTCACATTTACATTTTGATGCAGTTTCAATTCATGTTACGAGTGAGAGAACTGGAGCATTTATTTCAAATAATTCCTGTTTTGCAATGCGCAGACACCTCATGCATGTAGTTGATAGAATGCATACTGTGCATAACAGTAAAGGTGAATGGTAACAACTCCCAGTTCCAAGCAGAGAATTACAGTTTCGAGCAGTCATTTCTCAGTGCAAAAAACAGTGCATGCAGGTATTGGCTGCATGCCTTTAGGACACCAGTTATCCACAGCCACCTAAAGAAATCCAAGTTATCTGGGTATATTATGAGAAGTGGATGAAGTCTTAGGTTAAATTTAATTCTAGAAGAATTTAGAATTTGGATTCACAATTTTAAAGATTGCAAGGATGCTTTAATGGAAGTATAAACCATTACTCTGTTACACTAATAGGAATAATGTACCTCTGTAAGATTATTTACATAAAACTTGGCTTCAAAACAACTGATTGGTTCGGCATCTGAGAGTGGAGCAAACCTACGAGGAGATCACCTGAAGAGATCTAGCAGGTGATTCAGTGTGCAGTGCCCACAGCTCTTTCAGTGTCTTAGATGGGGGGAGTGTTGCTTGTTTTACAGCTGTGCAGTGTTATACTGAAACAGCTACATTTCTGTCAAGGGCTACAAAAAGCCTCCGTGCCAGTGCCTGTGGGGGAGTCCTTTGGCCTGGAAGTTGCCAACATAATAAAAAAGGCTTAGTTTCAGGGAAACTACAGGTAATGCTTGTCTGAATGGAGCTTGGCATGTTTCACAGAGTTGCATTACAATTAATTCAATTTCAGGTCAGTCTTTCAATGAAAAAAAGAAAATGAGGGGTGACGTTTCTGCCATAATGGAGGTTTTTGGCAATTTCAGTCACAAGTGCAGCAGCCATTTGAGACTTAATTCTGTGATTTAACTCTGTTGAAAAAGGTTGAGGAGGAGAAAAAAAAGGAAGAAACAGAGTTGTCGGGGGAAAAAAAGATGATTCTCTGCTGCCACTTAATGTTTGTCATTAAGGATTACTAATTTTGTCTATTATTCTTATTAGAATGTGTTGAATTTCCTTTTTTTATTAGGTCACCTGCATGGTGGTTCGTTAGGAATAGCTCCCTCTAGTTTATCACACAACTGCAATTAAGTTACGCTCATTGCTCTTTGTATTTAGTGTGGTAATTCACACAGCTGCTAAGTCCCTTGCTGATACCAAAACCAAAACTCTTCCAGAGGTATCCTTTCCTATTAATAAAGACAAAAAACAGCACAGCCAACACAACAGATGAGTCAAGACTACCATAAGCAACGGTGAATCAAACCACTACATTCAGAGGGAAGAAATACAGGCTAAGGAAACACCGGTGGGACAAAACCAACAGAGTGGGAGAGGGAAAAGAAAAAAAGGCAGAAGGGGAGAAACAGAGGAGAGAGGATAAAAGGACAGTACCTCTTGTTAACTCACTGCAGGAACTGTTGGTTACTACTAGTGCAGAGGGCGTAAGGGGAGGGAAAAACAGCAACCAAAATGATGAAGACATTAAGCATTTGGTATTTACAGAATACTGTCTCTTATGCATACATACACATTTCTTCTGGCTTCATTGATAATTATGCTTCTGCAAAAAACATGAACCATCACGAGTGTCAATTTTCATTCCCAGAAAGGAGAATGTTGAACTAAAAGGTGAAAGAGGTGCTCAGCTACCACAGCAAGGGCTTTTTCCTATGCTTTATATTGTTTAGATGAGGAAATTATGTTTTCTTACCAGAAGAAAATTGTATTGCCTCAAATGATACAGTTACTGAAAACAGCTTGTGCCCAAAAAGTCCAGTTATCATGAGGGCATCCAAAATCGTATGCTTGTGAAGACAGATAAATAAGCCAAGACATTTCACTGCTGAAATGGCTCCTACCAGTTACATTTTTAATTAGCCACAACTACCTCAAATATTCATCCTGTAAACTGGCAATCCAGACATCCACTTCTACTACCAGCCCGAATTACAGGCCCAGCACACTCATGGGAAGGCTGGGAAGTGCCAGAGGCCATACTGTAGGGAAAGAAAGAAAAAGAAACGTTCAGCCTCACCTATCCACATGAATAAATCATTACTTACTTGGATTTGATGGTGGAACTGTTCTTGCTGGGCAGCTATTTGTTCCTGGCATTGTTTCTCTACCAGCCTCAACAGCTGTAGCCACCTTGCCTATTTAATCACAAAGTAGAACAATTAAAGCACAATCATGTTGCACCTCTCACCTTTCATTCTAGGTGCACAACAGTTTTGCAATATTACAATTCTGTGCTGGACATCATATAAACTTTTCACAACAGCACTGGGCTGTGCACCCCACAATACATGCAGCCCCCCATTGCCTCAGTCAGAGGAGACAGTAATAACACCACAGAAAGAAGCAGAAGACAGAAGAAGAAGAAGAAGAAGGAGGAAAATACAGCCCAATTTGTGTAATGCTGAAGTCTAGGACACAGAACACAGACATCTACATTCTTTCCTTGGATCTGTTAAAGAGCACCAAATTAAGCATCTGTCAGAAGACATTTTATTGGACCACAGCCAGAAAGCTCAAAAATTCTGCAAGAACAAGTCCATGGTGTGGAAACTTGATGTTCCCTACGGAGGCTAAAAATAATGATCAAACATAAAATAAAGAGGGAAAAACATTTTAAAAGGGCTTGAGCAAATGAGCTGGCTGTACATAAATTACTACCTTTGTGTTGTTCCTAATCTGAAAAACTAATAATCTACACCTGTTTACAAACTGAATGAATAAATGATAGAAGGGAAACAGTGTCATTCATAGAAGAAAAAATATCAACTCATTTCCAGGATCACTTCAGACTTGAGCATGAAGTGCTGCAGTTTTAAAGGTTTAAAGTTTTAATTAAAAAAAAACTTGGAATCCTTATCCTAACACTGAAAAAACCAGAGTACTGTTACTGTAAAACACTCGTACATAAGAAAAATCACAACAAAATCCATCTGTGTGATCAGTTCACAGCATAATAAGTGGATCTGCCCCATTAAAGAATAAACATTTATGTAATCCCTTACTGCTGCACGATTGGATCCACCTTCCAAAATGCAGAGCAGATGCACTGATCCATTTATTTCTTTTTCAATAAGCCTTAACAAGTACCTCACAGTTCTTCACAGTTTCAGAGTCAGCATTCCCGCTGTGCTGGATATCCCGCATGTAGGAGGAGAGCAGCTCAACAGAGGCAGCAACTAAGGAGGACCTGGTATTCCCTGAGTAACCAGAAACTCCACTGGGATTGGCTGAGGGGCTCCTTGTGAAACACGAGGAAAAACTTCAATTATTTACTGTGCCAGCTGTCCAGCATAGCAGCCACGATGATGCTACAGAGCCGTCAAAGAATTACATGCTTAATTTACATTGCGATCCTAATCCAGCTGAAAGATAAAAGCGCTGTGTTCAGAAGAATGAAGAAATTCTTCAAGAAAATGCCAGCATGCAGTGAAACGATGAGTTACAAAGTTCAGCTCCACAGCCTTGTTTTGAGAAGCTGTACCAGTACGCGACCTGCAGTTCTTACAGCAAGTCGAGAAGAATCTCCCCTGATCTGGCAGGTGGCAGCTACTCTGTTTTTGCCCTCCTTATTCAGTGGAAATTCCTTGGGCACAGAATGGAAAAACAATTCCCTTTTTCTAAGCCACTGTATTCCACCAGTGACTTAATGTTCTACACGGTCTTTACAAAGAATAATCCCTTCTAACTTGGCCAAGACTGTTTCCCCACTCCTCCACTCAAGGAGATGTGAGTCAACAGAAGTCAGTAAGTTTTTAAGGATGATTTAAGTCTTCTTTTAATGAGGCTTTTCTCATCAAGTATTTTATCTGCAATTGTAAAAAACCTGAAATATATTGCAGTGCCACCATGGTAACAATGCTAGCAAGCATACCATCTACACAAAGCAAAAAGACTAAAAATGTTAGGAATTCCTCCATCATTATCTGTATCGTTACCTGTCACAATTCAAGTTGCAAACAGAGCTGTGGGTATTTTTGACATCAGAGTCTGCAGAAGACGAAGAGATCTCTTGCACAGCATTCATCGAGTCATGATTTTCCATATCTTAGATCCAAGTATGATTATACCCTGCAAACAAGAATTAAGTATCACTCTCCTGTTAAAAATTATAATAATAATAACATGACTCTGTAGTTTGGTGAAATAGAATTTGATTGAAGAGGCAGTTCTTTCAGTCAAACCACCCCAGGACATGCAGCATTCCAAGAACTTCTCTCCCTTGCCCCCAGCTATGCTTATTAACAGTTGCTGTTTAGTCAGTACTGTACTTGCTGTGATTCTCACAAGTCTAGAGGAGATTCCCACCACATAAGAATGGCCTATAAGGGGGTCTGAACCCAAAACTGCAGGTAGAGCACAGCTGTGGGTTTTGTTGGTTTGTTTCAAAGCTGGGGCTCCACAGTTTTTGAGACTTCTGTAGAGCACAATTAAAAAGTAGGGACCTATTCTCAGTCCATTAGAATCCAGAGGCTCTGCACCCACCCCAGAAAACACAATCAGAACTACTGAGCTAGACTGCAGCTGCCCAATTCGAGCATAGATGGTTGTGTACTCAATATCAGGCTCATTTTTAATTTTCCCCCACACACACATTAGCTTGTTTTATTATTACTGCATAACACTAATTCAAAAAACATTACAACTGCTTGAGATTTTTTTTTTTACACCAATTAAGCACAAACCAAATTCCCACATTATAAACATATATATAAAAAATACTTGTGCATTGGTCTTGCAGCACTCAAAGCAGCAGTTTACAAGAATGGCAACATTAAGTATGCTCCCAGTTTCGATTTGTTCATCAAGAACAAAAGCACTTGAAATACATACATACATTAATCAGTTCTTCTACAGTGCTTACTTCAGCATCTGCTGTGCCCTGGTGAATCCATCCCATGCTCTACACTGCAGGAAAACCTTATGATTGTTTGGTAGAACAAAAGGAGGCATTAAGAAACGTCATCCCAGCAGCCTGTGGTCATACAGAGAATAAATCCTCGTTGCCTTGCAGCAGCCAAATACCTTCAAAGCACAGGGCTTACAAGGACATGCTGCTGACTTTCAGGGATTTAAGCTTCCATTGCTTGTAAGTACACCAGCACATCTCACACTGATAAAGTGTAAAAACTCATTTCTACCAGAAGGAAACCGCTAGACAGCTGTCCAATTAATCTCTGTCCTACCGCTAAAGTGAAGCAGCCTGTAGTAAAATGCTCTGTTGGCAGCTTGCTACTTGAACTCCTCAGAGTACAGCTTAAAATGCAAGACCTGGAAGGAAGTTATCACAGATCCACACGTCCCTTTGACAGAGCTTCCTGGGAGAAATGGAAGTGAGGGCGAAAAAGCTCATTTCTTCTTTCTGCCAGGGCCAGCAGTGCGAGGACACGAAGGTCATCATGCAGCTGAGGTGGGGAGGCCTTCAGACAGCCCAGGCTGTGCCCGCGGTGCCCCAGTTACCTCAGCAGACAGGTGGGCCTTAGCTGTGCCACAAACTCGTTTCATAACCTCGTTAGAAGTCTGCCCGCAATGAAACATACATGGAGCTCCAACAGGGCCGAGAGCAGCTCAGCTGTCACCTGCTGTTTCCATAGCGCAGCACAAGCCCTCGTTCTGCCAAACCCCCGCACGGAGGAGCGGGATTAAGTCAGCCGGGAGGTATTTAACTCATCGGCACGGCTCCGGGTGCCGGCACGGCCCCAGGCCCCGCCCTGCTCCCCATGCAGAGCGCCTGCTGCCAGGCCCTCCCCAGGACCCCCGCTTCCCCTTCACAGCGGCCCCTCTCTCTATCCTCTCAGGGTCCCGCACCCCCTCTCGCCACCCACTAATTGCCCCTCTGCCTCCAGCGCTGCCCCATTCCCTCCCCTTCCCTCGCCACAGCCCCTCAGACCCCGATCTCCCCCCCCGCCCTCACCCGCCGCGATCCCTCCGGCTCCGTCCCCTCACGGCCGACCGCCCCCCAACCCGCCACCGCTCTGCCTCTCCTCAAGCTGAAGCCCCGCCTCCGCGCTGCCATTGGCTACTGCCCCTCGCGTTCCGGGATGTTGACGGCGCCGCCGACCCTGACTGGCCGGAAGCGCTGCCACTCTGCGAGGAAGGGGCGGCGCGGTACGGGTGGCCTCGCGGCGCTGAGGTACGGCCAAGCGCTGCAGCGCTGCCGGACTCTCGCCTCACCAGCTGCCCTCGGGACTCATCCGGTGCCTACCCGCATTGCCGGGAGATTGCCGAGAGCCCTCCGGGAGCGGCTTTGCTCAGCGACCTTTCAGCGATAAACAAGCGCGGCTCCCTCCTCCTCCCCGACGATTGGCGGCCCACTTTCGAACGCGGTGGGGCGGGGGGGGCTCTGCGGCGAAGAGACCGCACGCTGATTGGATACCTTGTGCGCGCTCCAGGGCGCGCCTTCCACTTTGATTGGCTGAGAGGGAAAGGACGCACGTCGCCGCCAGGGGATTGGCTATTGCAACTACGCGCCGGACGGTTCCCAGAGCCTGATTGGTAAAGAATGTGGGGGGCATGCATCAGGACACCGTGCGCAGCGATTGGTTGTGGTGATTGCCAATCAGCGGAGTGGCATCCCCGCCTCCAAGTGCCGCGCATGTGCAGATGTGACGGAAAGTGCGCGTAGGGCCGTGTGCGCAGGGAAACGCGCATGCGCAGTATGGCGCTCGGCCCGGGGCCCTGAGGTAAGCGGCGGGGCTGTGTGGGGTTCGTGCTGCCGCCTCCGCTCGGGTCGATGCGGGACCGCGCCTCTGGGTTCTCCTGCAGATGCAGCCTCAGCGACGGAAGAAAAAAATCACCTTCTAGTGCCACCAAGCAGACACGCTTACTTGCAGATGCAAGCTTCCGCGTTGGTTTCTTCAGCTGCGCTTTAATTTCCATCGCAGAGAAGCTCCTTTCTGTATGAGCGTTCCGAACTCGTTCGCCTTCGCGTTCGTTCGGGCGGCACGCAGCGCAGCCCTATGGAGGACGCAGCGGCTGTCCCTGAGCCGGGGGCCCTCGCCGTGGGCAGCCGGGAAGAGGAGCTCCTTGCAGCTGGTGCCGCTCACCGAGGCGGAGCTGAAGGAGCAGTTTGTGAGGGGCGATGGCCCAGGAGGGCAGGCCACTAACAAGACCAGCAACTGTGTTGTCCTGAAGCACGTTCCGTCAGGGATTGTGGTGAAGGTAATTGTGTTTTCTTTCATTATGGCAAGGGCTGCGTGGTGTTCAAGTTTGCTTTTGTGGTCGGTCATAATCTCAGCATGGTTGTCGCAGAAGGGTTTATGCGTACGTGAAGTACCTCGGCAAGAAGCAGGTTTGGTTAACGGATAAATAACCTGGGGCTGTCTGGATATAAAGGTTTAGCAGGAAAACAGAAAAATGAACAGCTGAACGCTGTGATAAGGATGTCCTCCTGTATTTCTTCAGTGCCATCAAACAAGATCAGTGGAGAAGAACCGAAAGATAGCCAGAGAAATCCTGCAGGAAAAGGTTGACCTCTTCTACAAGGGTGAAGAAAGTGATGTTTATAAAGAGAAGAAGGCATCAGAGAAGAAGAAGCAGGAGAAAAAAAGAAGAGCAAAGGAAAACCTAGAAAGGAAAAAGCACTTTAAAGAGATGCTACAATTGGACAAGAAATAAACATGAAATACTGACTGGCTCTGGTAGGATAAGGGAGAAGTTTGTCATAGCTGTGCATAGTTATCTCACTGATGTATAACAATGAGCTTCGTAAGCACAACAGAAATACCGAGCAGTGACCTGACCTGCTCTTACAGTAAAGTTGAAGAGTTAAAGCACACAGTGTGTTCTTACTTCTGTTTGCCATCATCTCATTAATTGTATTTAAGAATCTTTTTTCTGCTGAGTTTCTGCCTTGTACTATTTCATAGGCGTTCCAGTACATAAGGAGAACATTCCTTACAGGTTTAAACATTCCATCCTTACTTAGACAATGCCTGCACTGATATAAATCCTGCATGAAGTGACCAGGGTTAGATGGGACCTGAAAAAGCTGCTCTGTGATACTCTGATCGAGTACACAGACTTGAGACAAAGCACCACCAGTCACTGACTGTCTCCTTCAGATCTGTTAGTTGAACTTCCTGTGTAAATGCTCCAGCTCCCTCAATTCTGAAGGAATTTTAAACATAGCTTTACAGCTTTTACCTGCAGTGATGATGAGCATTGTTGAGGAGGGAAGGCAGGCATTCCTACAAGTGAGGGCTTATCGGGCTTATCACTGTTTCAATACTGCTAATAGTTACTAATTGCTTAACTAGAACTTCTCTAATTTTCAGCAGAACCCTCACAGGCTGCTAACTGCATTCTGACCTTCGATAACAAAGGCAAACAGCTTCAAGAAGCCAAGCTGTCTGTGTATGTTGAAAGCAAGGTAGACTACTAGCAACAATACCATCCTCTGACAGAATTCGACTGCAGCAGGACTGTACCTTCAATGAAAACAGACCAACAGTTTGCAGGCCTGTTCCCTTCTTCCTGAATGTGAGCCTCCTGCATGAAGGTTAAATCTTTGCTTTTCATACCAGATGTGTAAATCTGAACAAAGTGACTGTAGATACTTTTAATACAAACTGTTAATGAAAATAAGCTTTATTACATCAAGTAATAAATACATAAAAAGATGCAAATAAGTTTTAGTAATTTATCCAGAATTTTCTTTTTTTTTTTTTTTTTTTTTTGCAAACTTAAAACTGAAATCTCCAGCCTTAATGTAGAAATTAGCTTTCCAGAATCTTGTTATTATTTAATAGGCTTCCCTATTTTCCATATAATTCATGCACTTTAAAAGGACTTCAAAGCACTATTAGTCATGCAAGTGTTTATGCAAAATGAACAAAAAAGGAAAAGTAAGAGGAGAAGGTTATTATTTTTAAGCAGGGTCTATGCTGTATGGCAAATTGTGGCATAGCAGACTACTAAGTACAGCATGCTATTCTGCATTTATTTAATAAAAAAAAAAAGTCCTTACAGCTTATGTCAAACTTTGAAAGACTGACAGTTTGGGGTTACGTTGAAACAGTAAAAAGGATTTAAAAAAACCCAACAACGGGATTGTGGCTGGATAGGAAGAGAACTGAAATAGAGCCTAGGAGAGAGCATTCCTCTGCATGCAGTTCAGTTTTCATGGTTTAGAAATGCCTTAGGGAGTTTTAGTGTCTACAAAATGCCAACCCTCAGCAAGTTGAAAAATCCTTGTTTTGTTATTCTTCACTATACATTTTTAAAGGCAAAAAGAAAGGTAAAACCTTCAAAATAAAGGAATTTGTCTGAATGTTTCAAGAGTCAGAATGAGTAGGCATTACTTTTTCTTCATTAAGAGATGGAAGATCTTGTAACTGCATTCGTGGGCTAGGATCTTGCATTTCGTTCAGTCTCAGCCAAGCATTCCCGAACTAATCCTCTAGCATGAATAATGCCTGCAAAAGAATTGAGCATATTTTAAATTATCTCATTCAGGTGACATTTGCAGTGACAGTTCACAGAAAGGTTTACGTGTTTCTGCCGAGTCTCCAAGGCTACCACAGCATAACAGAAAATGGAGAGAGCCCTCCCTGCCCTAACATCAGCCACTGCTGAAGAAGTTTGCTTTCCCAAACTGGTGTTAGGGATTGAAAATGGACCAAACAAGGAATCAGAGCATTATGAGCTTTGCAGGGCTGCAGTGACAAGTACATTGTAATGTGCAGTATCTTATTAAAATGAGAAACTTAATTAGAAAGAAAAAAAAAATCAACCTGTCAGTTATGTTGGTATTGTGGGGTGAAAAACATCTGAACTTATTTAGGGAGTCATTTTAGCAAGGCCTAAGAGCCTTAATTAATGCCTTGGAACAATTCTTCTACAAGAGGATGCATCAAAATCCAAGCCTTCATAGTACTGCCTAAGCACAAGTTGTATAAGAGAAATCTTGTAATGATGTGTGCATAAAGGTACCTCCTAACTGGCTCAGCTCCCAGTATAAATCATCACTGCTTTACATGCTGCCATATCTACTCTGATAAGCATTATGTGGAATTTTCCACAGAGTCCTTCTGTCTTGAGTTCTAGCAGTATGGACCTCGAGTCTTAATGCTGGAACTTCATGTTCACAGAGCTGCTGAAAGAACAGAGCTCAAATCAGATTTTTATGATGGGAGACAGATTTTTCTACAACTAACAAGGTTATATTTTACTATCAGGAAAAGATGGGAGGTGATTTCTCTGCTCGGTCATGCTCCTTAACAAGGTGAAGAAATGACAATAAGGCAATAGAAGAGATTTAATCTCTTGTTAGATGTAATGGATTCTGTCTCTAGAAGGCTGCTAGCCCAGATCACAGCAACAGCTTCTACATTCAAGTAGAGACTGGGGACGTGATGGGTGGATGGCTTTGCTCAGGGTTAAATTAAGGCAGACAAGTAAAGCTGCATCCTCCTACAGCTGTGGGAGGCAGAAACGCATATCAAAGCAGTATACTAGACCTGGATCTAATGGCAGGATGCCCAGTTTATGCAGAAGAACTACCCTGAATTATGTAGAACGCTGGGAATTTAGCCAGTTTTAGAGGTCAGTATCCTCTGTCCCTAGGAGCAGATGGAGCAGGGGACAGGGACTTTACTCAGCAGTAACCTCCTCGTGGCCATGGAAGCTGCCGTCACGTGGTTACCCTCACTCACTTTGCTCTCACACTTGCACATGCTCCTTCAGCCATATAGCTCCTAAAATGCAGAGATGTACCTTTGTGACCAAAAGATGGCAGCAAAAAGTACTTAATGTGGATTTTTTGCATCATTTGTGAGCCAGTCACAGTGGCAGCACTGAATCTTAAGCCTACATTAGCGAACAAATCAATGCTCAGTGCAAGAAGTAGCAAAACAACGTTTCCTCACCCAACTGATATTCTCTGAACAGTTCTGCATCTCTCCTGCTCTCTCTCAAGTTGTCCCCATTAGCCTATTGCCATTCATGATCTATTAATACTGACTCCAGCAATGCAATAAAGAGAGACTCCAGCAACATTGATTTTAGCTGGGCTAGATTCCACTTACCACTCATCAGCAGACTTTATTGCATCCTTTCCCAGAACAGCTACTAGTCATTTTATTGCACGTCACGGCAGATATATTACTCTCCCATAATGGTTGAGCCTTAAATAAAGCTTTGTAGTCTTGGGTGAGTGTAAGGGGGATCTGCAAGGTGGTGAGATGTTAGTCTGTTACAATAACACTCCCGTCCAGGTTGAAGTGAGTGAGCCAAACTCAGCACAAGGACTAAGGAAAGGGAGGAAAAGGTAACTCTGTGTATTGGCCAGGGACAGAAATGCCAGCACATCCATTGTAGGTGGCATTCAGGGTCATTTTAGGAGCAATGGAATGTCCCACTGCTCCTTCACAAATACCCCTTGCACGTCCTCTGCAGAGGACAATGTCAAGCTGATGTAAGCAGCAGGGCATGTGGGGGTTCCTTTTACACTGCAAAGGAAAGGGCATTTATGTGACCTCTTTTAGCTGACTAAGCAAAGCTGAAGAGACCTCATCAGCCAGACCTAAAAGCTTCTATGTCCCTTAGCAGCAGCCTCCTAATGACATCCACTTGAAACCCGTAATGGAGTCTAAGTGGCCCGATACCATGCAGAGGAGGAGTATGTTTGACATCTCACTCTCAACAGCCTCCACTGACAAACCCTTTCTGTTTTTCCCCAGCTGTTCTCTCCACCAGCCTCAGTGCAACTTAACACAAAGCAATATTTCCTTAAGCCTTTCAGTAAGAGCTCTTGGGTCAAGGAGGTGAGTGACGTTTATCAGAGGATGAAAACAATGTTTGGTTGTGTATTTTGGATGTGAGAGAGAAGACACAGTTAAAGGACAAGCAAGTCACCAAGAACCTAGCACAACATGTCCAGCTGACAACTTAAAGCTTCTAAAACAAGGTTTGAATTATTAACTGAAAATCTCCCTGTGCACATGAAACACATTTGGCCACTATTAAATACAGCAAGAATAGAGCATACCAGAGCTCTAGTTGCTCATTAATACACTCAGTTTAACAACAAGCTCAATACAGCTGTCTCCATTCAAGGGAGACCATTGTTATGAAGCTGCCTACAAGTAGTCAGTACACAAAGAATATGGGATACCTTCAAATATGTATTTCTCTTTCTTAAACATTACCTCGTTTTAGCCTCTCCATCGCACTTTTACTCCCAGCATATGTGGGTCTGATCTCTTTTCCTAATTCTTCGATGATAGCTAGAAGTTCTGCATATTTGCTCTGCGGTACTTGACTGCTGCTGGTACCCTGCAATTGAAAGTAGATTAATCTCAATTAAACGCTACTAAAACCAAAACAATTGGAACAAACAGCACCTGGAAATTCACTGAATACCCCAGGAAGCCACTTTTTTTTTAAAATAAGTTGTCAGGTTTGCTACATAAACATGATTTTCTTTTTGCCTTTGCTGCTATGGCTGGACACAATGCTACGTGCCCTTCAAAAAGTGGAGTCACGTAGGATGCAGCTGCACGATTGGAGCCTGAGATGAAGCAGAAGTTAGAACAGTCCTACAAAAACAGCAAACTGAGAACTAATTGTTGAACCCTCTTGCTGTCTTTATCAGTGTTCAGATGTATATTTTATATTAGAGAGAATGAAGAGCAGATAAAACAAAACTGCCCGTACAGTAGAGGAAATCCTATTAAGTGGTAAACAGATGTCACAGAAAGTTCACCAGCCCATAGGTATGTCTGTAACACGCTTCATGAGACTGTCAATCTTAAATCAGCAGTTTGTCCAAGGCAAACAGTTAAAGGTGTAGGACTATTACTTTTCTAACGATTAAAAAGCATGTAACAGCCCTTGCTACCAGAACATAACTCAAGACATGGTTCACTGACTCAGAAGGAAAGGGACTAACAGTTAATTAGTAACTAATCTCACTCAGCACTCTGCTTAGTCTAATTCGATCCCAAGATATGTGTGATGAATCAGTTTGCCATTTGGGTTTGATTTCAGACCTTAGTGAGAGGGAGGAACACCTCAGATTACAGGCCACTATCCACGATACTGTGCAGTCACAGGGTCAGTGATCTGGTGAAAGGAAAAACAAGCAGCAGAGCCATACCTGTATCCCTTGTGTGTACCCTAGCGATGGGGGCCCGTAGTCGTTTATCAGCTGCCTGTATTGCGCAGACGTTGCCATACTTGTGGAGGGAGAGTGAACGCTCCCAGCTGCAGAGAAAAAAGAGAAAATGCTTGTTATTATCTCCAGACGGATGAGTCGGTTACATGGGAACACATTTCAGGTGGCTTTCCTCTTTTCTTAAGCTGTGAATTCTCACCTTACTCTAAGCCAGCCGATGCCAGAGCCACACTACTTCCTACTAACAGACAAATTACTGCTTCCCCAATGTTTGCTGTACACTTCAAAATAGCACAGCTGCAACCTTATCAGTGCAAATTGTTTGTCTAAAAGTGAAGCAGTGTAACATGACAAGTTGTTCTGCCTGGACAAACTAAATCTTAAGGAGCCCTATTTTTGCATATATACATTCCACGTAGATGAGTCTAACGCCCTGCGCTATTTTTACTTTTTCAGTGCAAGTTATCTGAAAGCAATTTTGCAACTCAAAGTGTCATCACATGGTCAATGCAAGTTATCCTCAGTACTATTTTCAGCTGATGCCAAAACTATTCATAGAGAACAGTCAGTTGAGGTCTATCAGATCTGCTGCTCATTGTATGACATTGAGGTGAAGACTGCTAAGCATTATTCCTCTTTGTGAGATATCAAACATCTTTTGCCTGTCAAACTGTGCTACGTAAGTAAATCAAAGGCAAAAAACCATCTCTTTGGATTATGGGTCAGCTCAAAGACTCTACCAATGCAATCACTGATTAACTACTTCAGAAACAGGGAAGCAAGACACTTCACTACCCCACTATGGTAAGCATTTGTTACTGAGAAATAAGATTTCTTTTGGAGGGCTTAATTCTGCTCCCTGTTTTACAACAGCTTTAACGGGCTGGTGATGAATTGCACACTCAGGGCTGAGGCAGTGTTCGACTTAGCTGCTCTTTCACTCCTGCAGTTAAAAGCCCCCACACCCCCACTGGTGCTGCTCTCCTTGCCTGCAGGCACAGACTCAGACCTCCTGCTGCCTGCAAATCTTCCCTTTGCAGAAACCCTCACTAAAAATTCCCAACTGCCCTTCATTAGAGGAAGGGATCTTATTCACCACCTTCCACATGAACCTGAATTATACCATTGACAAGTCACTGCTGCTTAGAACCACGTAAACCACTAGCTTTGTTTAGAAGTTGCAAGAGATTTCATTCCCTGTTTCTCTTCACTAAGAAACAGAAAGCCAGTAGTTACATTGTGAAAAGCTCTGCTGAACACAGTGGAACAGACTCTACCTTGGCTGGGAACTCTTTCCATTTCAGAATGTATCACAGGTCATCACTGTGGTGGTGTCTTTGTTCTAGGAAGAGAGTATGTTCTACATCCTGCCCAGTTAACTGGATGTGAAATCCTAATGAAGGTAACACGAGGTCCATTTGAAAAAAAGGAAGGTTTATCTTTGTTTCAAACCAAGCCGCTAAGTTTTATGGCACTATTCTGCATGTGTCTACTGCTAAGGTTTCATGAGGAGTTAACAGTCGCATCCTTCTAAAGTACAGTAAAAACAAACAGCAAAAAAAATTAAAACACACCTACAGAGCACGGGTCCTGCACTGGAGAGGAACACCACAGTAGTCAACTGTGCTCCCAGTCAGCCCTTCCCTCTGTGCATGCTCAATGGCAAGGTTTCTGTACCTACAGCTCAGCCAATATTCCAAGTCCAGACGACTTGAAATTTCAACACTTATCAAACGTGACACAACAGCAAACAGCATCTTTCCTCCAGTGATTTCAAAATGCTTCAAAACACTAATGAACCCTTTGTGCTGCAAGGTAGAAAGATTTAATTACCTCAATTAAGCAAAGACAGACTCTAGCGATTTCTGCTCCCATAGAATAAAACAAAAGATGCATCCTGTAAAGACTTGTTCCCAGGCTGCTACTGCAAGCACCACGCATACGGGGCCTGGAAGCTCCAACCTGGCTCTGAGCAAGAACTTGGATGGCCAGGCTCGGGAATCCTGCTTTGGCCACTCAACAGACCTCACCAACACTTACCCCACAGCTGCAGACCACGCAAACAGGACCGTTTTCACCAGCATATCATTGGCTAATGATAAAATAGTACAGATAATTAGAGATCATTTGAGGTTATGCAAATTTAAACGATGTGTGTTTCATTTGGATGAAATAACACAGCAGGGCATGGCTACGTAAGAGAAAGCTCCACTAGAAACATGATGTGGCAAGATAGAACAGCGAAGCCGGGCCGAACCATACTTTGCACACATAAGGTACCGCAGTGGACAGCAGCAGGACTCAGCACGGGAGTTTCACAAGCAAAGAACTTTCAACAGGCAGCAATGAGGGAGAACCCACTGCCAGAGCTGGGACAGAGCTGGGACAGAGCTGGGACAGAGCTGGGACAGAGCTGGGATGTGGCTCCTGCCCGCAGCCAGCAGCCAGGGCCCTACCTGGTGCTGCTCCACAGCTGGGTGCTTATTGTCTGCTGTACCCACGCTATGCAGAGCTGTGCAGCAGACACTAGAGGCCATTGCTGAGTACGGCGTGCCCTGCCAAGTGACAGATCGTGGTAACCATGGTGAGTTTACCCGTTTCTTTGCAGTCTGCATCAAAAATGTAATAAGACATAATGCCATGCGCCGACCACTTTATCAGCAGCAGCAGGCCCTGAGAACAAAGGAAGGATTTGGCTTGGCCGTGGCACCGGCTCCACACGCCCAAGCCAGAAGTTGTGCCAGCCAAACTCTGCTGGAGGAAAGGAAGATGAAAAATCCTGGATTTCACCTCATTTTAAGATGATGCAATCATGAAAATGAAATTAATTGCGGGGATATTATTATCTCACGGGGTAATGGACCTTAGGCTTTCTGACCTATCACTTTGTATGTTAATCTCAAAGAGAAGCCCTGGGTCTCAGATGACTATTAGTCAATTAACCCGAAATACATCTGCATGCCTGAACATTCTGTACACTGCAGATTAAAAAAAATAATAACAATTAAAAAATCACCAGCTATTGCTGTTACAGTTAGGAGGAAAAATTAGGCCAACGAGTCTCAGAGCCAAGACCCAGTCAAAAATCCGTTTGATGATTAGGTATTCACTGGAGAGAGGAAAAAAAGGAGGGGGGATCTAAATTGAGGCTTGCTCTGTCATGTTAAAGTAACAATGGAGACAAGACAGTTAGGAACTGACAGAAAAGGGAGTGTGCTTGTACTGAATTCGAGTGACACTCTGCATCACCTCCCAGATTGTCTTAGTGCTTGCTGCTGCATTAAACCTAAATTAATGTACACACTTTCCTGCCTCCACTTTCCTAATTAAACGTACACAAAACCTTTTATACACTCATTTATTCTTGTGCCAACAATGTCTTTTATTTCTGTGTTCACACAGAAGACTGACAGAGGCTTTTTTTTTCCCCACAAAAAATATAGTGAGTTTCTTGCTAATCAACATAATTCGTCATTAATTAGGATAAGGTGTAATAATACAGCAAATAGAAATGAGGGGTTTTTTTTTGTTTGTTTCTCTTTTTTTTGTCAAAATCTCTCCCTTCCAGTAACATCCTGCAAGACAAAGGATAGAGAACCAACCTTTGTTTCCCTGGACTCCCTCTTACCAAGAATCTCCCCATCAATTTCCAACAGGTTTGCAGAGATCCATCCAGTTTCTTCTCTACTGTTTCCAAGCCTGAGCAGCAATGCCAGTCTCAGATCTTACCCCTACTGCTGTTGCTTGCTGGAAAGCTAACTGGAAAAGCAGCTTACCGTGCACCCCACAAGGAAGCAGCGGGGGCAGGAACGTGTGTGCCTGATCCACTGATCCACTGACCCACCTGATCCGCTCCCAGATGTCCACAGGGACACCTCTGTGGTGGCCACAGCACTCTGCTTCACCCTCACAGACACAGCAAAGCAAAATCAGAAACAGTTACTCACCTCGCCCAGTTACTCATGTAGAGCTGACTTAAGAGCTAACCCTACTGGATATGTGTTTCTCTGTAACTGCGCTTTGCAGGGTCCTATAAAATGGCATGTATAAGCTCCTGCCATTTTACAAACTCTTTGTACTCGAGAATGTAAGAGATTCCTGCAGGTATGCGGTCTGAGATATCCAGGATGGAATATTTTAACTGAGAGGATGCAACTTCTCTGCCCTGAAGTGGCCCAGTTTGCATTACAACACGTGAGAAATGCTCTGAGCTGCGCAGACAATGTACGTTGCAAGGCAAGGATCCTCCAGCACAGGATGGGAGGCAACATCCTCACCTACCACAGCCATCTCTGCAGTATTTGCACACAGCCTGAACCGCAGCAGAGTTCTGGCTGACTATGGGATTATTTGATTCCTTAGCCCTCTGCACAACTTGGCTTAAGCTCAACGAGAGCTGCCTGCCATCCATGGGACACCACACGCACGTCTATACAAGCAGACCTACTGCACAGCCAAGCAACACATGGAGCACTACGAAGATGCCAACCCACAGCAAAAAGGCTGTCAGCCCCCGTTTCCCCCAACCTCCAAAGAATTTATTTTTTTTAATTTTAAAATAATGGACCTAGTTCTCATCTGCACAAAACATTCCTTATAGGACTGGCTGTGAAAGTTTTATTTTCACCCGCTATTTCCCACCTTAAACAGCCTGTGTGGCAGAAACAGACCTTTCTTTGAATAAAACTATTTCACTTGAAAGCAAAAAAAAATTCAGCACACACACATATAAATATGTTCTCAAGAAGTAGGACATTCTTTTTCGTAACAGCCAGAGGCCTTGCTCTTTTGATCCATCACACTCAGGGCCTTTCCTCTAGTACTCTCGTTCCACTTAATCTTCCCATGTGGATAACGGTCATGTTTTATTTCTTCTCTTTCCAACTCCTCCCTTTCTTCTTTCTTTTTCTTTTTCTTTTTTTTTTTTTAAATCAGACAAACAGAAGACAGTCCCTCTGCCTCCCCACTGCTCTTCTATTCTAGCTGAAGACAGGGCATTTCTACATTAGCAAATTATTTGGCACAGTGAGAATGGATCGGAAGATCAAAGCCTTTGGTACGTGTATACCACATGTAGCTGGGGCGAGGGGCAGGATTTAAGTTTGGAATTTAGTCTGATCCCCCAGACTGGGTGTCTGCATCACAAATATGGCTCAAAGCTGTCCAGCCTTTGGTTTGGACCTCTATGTTCCCCTAAAGGATGGAGCACCAGTTGCATAACTGGAGCACAGCTTCTGGTTTACTTTTACGCAAGAGGAATGAAGCTAGCACAAACCAAAACCACCCTGCAACTCAACTGACTGGTGGGTGGGGATGACGCAGAGATGTGCTGGTTGTGAAAACCATGCCAGTCACTGCTTTGAACCTAAGAGCTCTGGTAGACAAAGCCAAAAACACCATTTTCCTAAATGTCCAAACAAGTCCACTGAAAAATTGTTCATTCTGAAACACGTTTAGCGAGTTTCTTTTCTGTTCATGGCTTCATGTGGATTTCAAGTGACCTGGGAACCTGACATTTTCAGTCTGTAACATGAGGGTTTGGGAGTGGAGCATCATCTACATTTCCTAAAAAATATCCCCTCTGCTAAGACATGAACACTTTGCTCTCCACATTGTTTGTAATCGTATTCTTTCCAGTACCCTCATTCCAAAAAAAGCAGCCCCTCACTACAGACACCGTGAAACCCAAGCTGTCTGTACAGGGCAACAAGCAAGCCATTTGCTCATGCAAGTTTGCACTGAAGTCTCAATAAGAAATAAGCTAACATGTTGAGCATCACATCTCAAGACTGAACAATATCGGTCTCCCCAGTTGCAAGCTGCAGCCCAGCCCCAGAAAGGGAAGAATCTTTCTCATTCACCTTTTCATTCACCTCTCTCTGAGAATTTGCTTTTTTTTTCTTTTCTTTCTTTTCTTTTTTTTTTTTACCACAAAGCTTCTAACAGCCCTGCTGGTCCTCAGCATGGCAGCACCATTTGCTAACCAGGAGCTGAGGCACTGTCCTTTCTCTTGCCAAAGTCTGCTGCATCTTGCTTCTCCAGCTCCTAAACACAAAAGTTTTCAAGCTTTATTACAGGAACAGGGTTTGTCTTGAAACATGGTAACATTTCTAGTTGAAATTACAAAGGAAAATCCAAGCTCTTTCTGCTGGTTTCTGGACCTTTAAACTACTGCTCTTGAACATGTGCCTGAACAAAACTGGTAGATATCCACAACAGAGCCAGGAAACACCCTGGACCAGAGAAAACCATACAAACACAGAATCACGGAATGGTTTGCTTTAAAGAGGCTGTAAGGCTCACCTAGTCACACACCATCAGACCTTTACCTCCCACCAGACCAGGCTGCCCACAGCCCCACCCAGCCCAGCCTCGAGCACCTCCAGCATCCTGACCACATCACGCAGTTTTGGGTCACTGGCAAACTCACCAGGGATGTTAAATCTGTTAAATCAACACCAGTCCCACTGCAGAGCCCTGAGGAGCACCGCTTGTCCCTGATCTCTACCTGGTCATCCAGATGGTGACTGCAACTGAACATCAACTCACTGAACACAACTGGACGTTGAGCCATTGACTGTAACTCTTTGAATGCACCCATCCGACCGATGAATGTCAGTCAAAAGACAAACTACAGACCTGGTCACAGCTGGTGCAAATCCCTCTGCTTCAAGTGAAGTTGGTAGAGACGCTCCACTTTATCTCAGTGCAATGGTTGATCCTCTCACAGAGGAACAGAATTAAACAATATGAGATACAAGGCAGGTGAGGAGGAAGCAGTACTACTTTGCAATATTCAGTACAATATGCAAGAAAATAAATAAAAACGTTATGTTAAAACAGGTAACAGAGGTGCCTGGGGACACGATTGGCTCAGGTGAGGATGTGAAGGTACAGACACAGCATCCCAGATCCCTAACAGAGCTCCTGTTTACCTCCTGTGCAGAGAAGGCATTTGTGTGGATTAAAAGGGGCTCCACCCTGCAGAGTGTGTGGGATCCACAAAGGGGATGGATAATTCAGGCAAAATGCTGCAAGACCTGGGCAGGAGGAACAGGTACCAGATTCTGCTCTGACAACACAACACCCTTCCCAGAGTCTGGTGCAACGTAACGAGCAAGCAGCCCCATTTTCCATGCCCACAGCCA